CGTCCGCGGATATAACCCATGTTCTTAACTTTTTGAACCAAAAGCGCTCTGACAAACTTATTTTTTGAAGCTTATTTTTCAACACACGCACACACTAAATCGTGAAGAAACTTTGTAGAAAAAAGAGTATTTTTCTAATTCTTAAGAAAAAGATCTTGAGTTGTTCGAATTGTGCAAAATTGGATATTCAGTCTCAAACTTAGAGAAAAAAAAACTTGATTCCTTACATTCTGATTACCTATTCTCCTCAAAACCATATGATACAAATTTATAAGAAAATTCGGGCATAAAATTTTCCTTCTACTATAAAATTGGGAAAAGTATTGTTGGAAATTGTGTGGGTGTGTCAAAAGAACAAATCCTACATTGCTTAAGAGAGTGAAAGCACAAGTCTATAAATACTAGCTTGTATTTTTGGGCTATTGAATGGGCCTCGAGGAGAAGGAGGACGATCTTACGCGCATGACTATGGGTTGTCTGAGACAAACACAATGGAAATCCGGCAATTTCCCCACTGTGCACAAGTTAAAGGCGAATTGAGCACCTTTTAATCAGACGTTTTTTGCAAAATCCGGAAATAATTTAAACTTATGAGAATCATGATTTTATTACATTTGAATTTTGAAAGCCTACCGTTTGGTTTTTTTTACACTCCATCAATATGTCATAATGGATTTTTAATTGCGAAACGTAGAGGTTAATTACAATTAACGTTCAAAACATATATGTTACTCATATTTGTTACTGTAACATTCATAACTGAGACTTTAATCACAATTAACGTGATTAATTCAGGGCCTAACGTCTCTTGAGTCTGTGGCCTATATAAGGTAGAGCTTGCATGAGGTTCAAGCATTCGCACTTGAGCTTTCATGCATCTCCTTCATCCTTTGAAATTTCTGCTGCCTTGCTGGGTTTATCTTTTACCTTCTGCTATTTTGTTCACCCTGTTCTTGCATGACGAGTCCGTTTAATCCTGGGGAGTGCCGCTTTCTCGTCTGCCGATGGTTACGGAATAGCTTTTAAGAACATCGTTCATAGGATGTAACTCAGACTAACTATTTTCTGCATGTACTACTGCTAACAAGTATAAGAGAGAATTAATTAAAAAAAAAAAAGTAACTCTTGTTCAGTTCAAGTACTTGATACATATATTATATTTAAAGGCAGGTTAATACAAATTTGAGTCCCTTAAATTTGAGTCAATTTTGGTATTGGTCCCTTAAATTTTAGCTGTTACAAAATGTTGGTCCCTGATACCTTTATACCATTAACTTCATTTGAGACGGCACTAACACTGTGAACTTGATGGGGTGGATATACAAGTTGGCACATATATGGCTTGATGACCTGGACATAAAGGGGAAAAAAAGCAACTAAAAAAAGCTCACTCTCGAGGTAGCAAATATGTTGTTGATCTCTTCCACTAATTCACTCGAGACAGCAACTGTGCAATAATACTCCTGTTTCCACTATAAAAAAAGAAGACAATTCCACGGTCCAAGTGGCATATTTCATGTGTGAACGACGTAATGGTGCTCAGGACTCACCTTGACAGCAAGTACAAGCTTGCTTATGATGGATACATCTCCAAGGTATGCCAAATGCTTTGGTTATTAGATCTTGAAATAAAATAAGTAAATTAATTTTTCCCCCTAATTTACAGCTTATACACTTTGTCATGAAAAGAAAAACTCTTGTTCATAGGTGGCGGTTCCACCTTATAATATGTATGATGATACCTTGTTAGCTACTATTATATTCAACTAAAATCCATCATATCCAACTATGATACTGTTGTGATATCATTAAAATTCATGATATGCAACTAAAATACTGTCAAGTTACAATTCGAATTGCATCTCTGTTATTAGTCTTTATTTTTTAGACTAAAAACAGAGCTAATAAAATAATGTGGTGACATAGTCTTCGGGATAAGATCAACCCATTTAAGTCCAAGCTCTTGAATGGGAAGGCAAAGGATGCCTTGACGCCCTGACATTTGTAGCTTGACCAAGTCCCTTGATTCCAAAGTATTAACTCATTGCAAGGTCTATTCTTTTAGTCTTATTGTTTTGAACATTGCATTAATTAATTAGTTTGATCAACTTGTGGTCAAGCTTCAATGAATGGATGGGTTTTTATCCAATAATGCTTAATTAATTACTCCGTACCACATATCATTTCCTTTGTCGGCAATCACTGCTCTATGTCTGACAACTTTAATGCCCAACACATGCAATGAAGATGATGATGATGATGAGAGGGTAGTAAGGGGAATCGTCATCAGCTTTATTTATGCAACCACAACACATTGCTGGATCCTCTTTACCTGTCGTTTGCATCAAAGAAGAAACTTGATCACTATGACATATAGCTTGAGCAGAATGTCAGAGATTCTTTCATCCATCAAGACCGTCTAATTAACAAGGGATCATGATGAGGATACTAAGATGATGAAGAAGTTATTGAAAAAAAGGGACCTAGCATTGCGCCCCGAAGAAACCACCTGTAAAGAGCCATATATGCTGCAGTTTAGCCCACCGTCTTCTAAAGTGAGCGATGAAATCACTTCGGTCGTTGTTGATTGCCACGTCAGCATGTTCCCCTCACTAGGCTAACGGTGTTAGTGCCATCTCATACAAAATTAACTATGTGAAGATATCAGGGACCAACATTTTGTATCGGCCAAAATTCTAGGGACTAATATCATGTGTTTAAAATTCCAGGGACTAATACTAAAATTAACTTAAATTTGAGGAACCAAAATTTGTATTAGCCCTTTAAAGGCCCTCAGTAGTGATGATCACATAAAGAAAAGAATTAATATTCATAATTGTACATATTGCAGCATTTGAAAGGTAATTATATTAGGATTTACATATTAGAAAATCAACCTTTTTGGAACCTATGGGTATAAATTTAACGCCATTAAACATGGGGTTAAAGTTATATAATTAAACATGGGATGTATTTTATCGCCAAAAAAAAAACCACGGGATGTATTAAAAAACCATGTTGCTAGAGATTATGGACATCCACAACATTCGTATATAACACGTACTCTAAAATTATAGAATAAAAACTAAGCATAAACCCAATGTATCAATTCATCCACAAAGGAGCAAACTGGTAATCTAGTATATATCGGCCAATATATATACAACACACACCATAAGGCTCTACGTAGTAAAGCAGAATCTAAATTACATCATTTACAAAGTAAAATAGCACTTTGACCCTAAACTCTTAGGTCAATATTCCATGGTTTCAAAGTTTCATGCACCTTATTACTAAAGATACTTATGACCTGTCATCGCTAAGATAACAATAACAAAAAAGTACTAATATGCAGCGATATGTTACATTCGCGAACTAACTCCTTCAAGCTCAACCATCTTTGAGGACGAAAGCATTTAACGATTCAGGATCTAAATGATAGTTCACTTCGGACATTATAGGCACCCTCAAGTACGTTGAGCTCTCATGCTTTAGAAGCCGTTGTTTCGGCACCTTTACCACCTTCGGCCTCTTTCTGATGCTTAAGAAATATCTCCTTACAGTAATATTCTCCCATCTACACATATTGTTTCATAATTGAGACACATGTTGATGCAATAATAATAATGCCTAATTTTCGATTGCATTCATTGATGAATTCTAAGGTGAGATATTTGGTTCACGATTTCCATAAATTGTGGGCTTCATGACAATAATTCAAACTTGTTGAAAAGATTTCCGTGAGGTTAGGTGAAGATTCAAAAAATTGACCTTAATATTAGGGACAATATTTCTCACTTATTCCTTAATATTAAGAGCTATGTAATATATCTTTCAAATGGAAGGATCGATTCAGTTGAAACACACCTGTGTAAGGAGTGAATAGAGAGGTAGCGTGTTATAGCTGCAAAGGACCTGAATGAATACTCTGAAACCCCAACACAAAGGAGAAAGAAAAGATTAAACTTCAGGATGCATAAAATAGGTTAAAAAAGGAGTAATGTTGAACTAGCATATGTAGGACCCCAAAGTTTCATTTAGTTTCAAATAATATAGTCTCTCTATAGTTTACAAATTTGAGTCCCAAAGAAAATCTACTACTCCCAATCAATGGAGAATGCAAATTGAAGATCAACCTTGTAAAAAATGTTGGTGTCCAATTGGAACCTTCAAGTTGTATATATGAAACTTTCAAGTTATAAATTTAGAAGTTCCAGTTGCAGACAGGTCCTCATTTTACTTTAATTCCCTTAAAAGGTCTTCCTCGATCCTATATTTAGCATCGTAGGGAATAGTATCTAGACATGTGGTTTGCCCAAATTAAGTGAAACTCTAACGGCTAACAGCATATAACTCACAATTGTGAAAGGGAAGGAAGTGTTAATAGTTACCCAATAACGAGCCTGACGATGACGTAAGCGAATTGTCCCATTACGCAGGCGTGAGGGCTATAAGCAGTCTTAAGCTGAATAATATATAAGATTATATGCATAAATATCAATTAATTATGTGAACCCATAAGGGCAAATGAAAGTGGAAGCTAAGGAGAAGAAATAATAGAATTTGCTCACCCATGTCCAGAAGAAGAATGCAATCTCAAAAGAGTTCTGGAAAAGGATGAAGTGAATCAATAAGAGAACAAAGGAAGGCCGACGGAACCAAAAGTGATCATCAGCATTGCTTGCATCTACTCCACGAACTAATAGCATAAGTACATGCTCCAACTTAGTGCCAACTGCTAGCAGAAGCTGACACGGAGTAATGCAAATCAGTACAATGGAGTAATATAAATATATATGTATATATATATATCTAGAGAGAGAGAGAGATAAAAGAAGGGGCATGGATGAAAGAATCTTAGAGAAAAATCATAAGCAAGAATATAAGTAGTTGAGGATATGAAGTTGCATGGTGAGCTGAAACAAATGGTGAGACATGATGTATCCTTAAGCTTAATAAATTTCCACTAAAAGTGAAATAAATCTTAGAACGATACTTACAATGAGTGGAATAAACGCTATCCAAAAATATGTGTACCAGCCTGTAAGAACAAAGAGAAAATCAAATATCTGAATTTGGAGACAACTAGAAAATCAAGAGAAATAATTAGATAACCATACCATTAACATTAATTAAGAAGAAGATAACCACAAAGATCCAAAGGTACCAACTGCAACCAAAATTACAGAATCAGTTTCCAAAGATATTTAAAATCAAATTGAATCCCCAGAAGCACTTACCTTATGCCAAAAACATAGACAAAATCAACTTCAAGAGCTTCTATCATGTATTTATGAAATCTAAACTTCGGATTTGCCTCGCGAATCTAAAACACAGAAATATAAAAGAATGATCTTGACATCCACTTGAGAGGCTACTTGGAAAGAGCTTCAGATCAAGGATTAATAGGCACCGAACTTCACATTGCATGCCCTTTTAAACTTACCTTCATAAACTCCCTTCTTAATGTCACATAATCCGATTCATTTACGGACCCACAAAATTGCTTCCAAAAACAATGCTGCAAGAAACTTGCAAGATTAGGATGAACAACTAAAACTCAAACATAATCTCCAATAAGGGAATTTAAGCTGTTTTTCATGAGTGATATGAATATATATATATGTATATATGTACTCCTCAGTTCCTGAATGTAAGTCTTATTTTGTAATGTAAATTATATTACAAAATGAGTCTGATATTTAGGACTATAAGAGTATATAATAATCAATTCTCAGTTTTGGATCAACATATATGAACAACTTACCAACCAAGTCATCAGATTATGAGAGCTCCATCCTTGCGGATCTGCAGCAATCCATTTAGCATATAAGGAGCCATCAAGAAGAAAAATACCCAGAAAGATATATAACTTTCACAGGAGTTAAGCAGATACTGTTTGTTAGATTAATTAATTCTTTTCGGTGGTTTCATGGTTCACGAAAACAAATTGAAAAGATAAAGCTGACAAAGGAGAACTTGAAAAACATCTACCAAAGAGACTACGATTTGATTAAATAATTGAGTCACTTAGGTACCTATCTGATCCGCTTCAGCAATTGAATCCTTCCAGTGCCTCCAGTGTCGTATCTATACAACAAAGGGATGGATCTTTAGTAAAGAAAGAAAATTGGTAGCAGGAATTAATAGTTTATAATTGAAAGCGTCTCAGATACTCACTTTGAGTTTTCCAATGAAAACTGTGAGAACACAATAGATCACATGGACTACAGCAAGAGTGAATATGAAGATATGCAGGTCATGGATGGCCTTAAGGGATATCAAGGGAACCTTGTTCTGAAAGAAAATGAAGGGATAATGTACAAAACTGTTAAATGATCATATATAGTTCAAGAAACTTAGAAAGGAAAATTCATGGCATGAATAACTGAAAGGGTTATTGTGTCCTGACTCTGAGAGCCTCCATAACTATAGTGGTTATTATAACATCCGAATGTTTGTCCTTTTATTTTGTTAAAAAGAAAAAATGAAAAAAATGCATATTTAGTCATTTTAGTTTCTTAATTTTATAAAGTATCATTTTAATAATGCATTAACAAAAAATGTTGATATTAAAATTTTAAGTGCTGACAAAATATACTTAAATGCGAATATATTAAGTTTAAACTTTTAAGATGGTAATAATTGTTAGAAAAATTATAATTTAAAACCAACAGTATTTAGGTCAAAGGACTGATAATTTAATTTGTGAAGAAAAAGAACCAAAAGGGCACTTTTGCCCGTTGAAAACTCACCAATCTCAAGTGATGAAGAAAATAGTTCGCCATTTTGATGCTCATCAAGTACCAAAATTTGGAGAATCTAGATTTAATATTTTTTACTTTCATTTTTTGGAAAACATTTAAGTGCGTATAGAGTTTAAAGAAAATCACATAACTATGATTTTTTAAAATAAAATGATTTTTTATTTTAAAATCATCAATTAAAATTTTTAAATTTAATTTGTCGAAATTGTACACATCTCACCGCAACAGTAAATGCCACACTGGCGATGCAAACCAATTTTAAAGTGGTGAGCACTGAAATTTGGACTATCTTAATCTAAATGGACAGCTTAGATATAATTTTACTTTTATTTTTAAGAAATGTTTTAATTTTTAAAATGTAAAAGGGACAATATAATTGCTGATCCTTAGAGGTTGTGTTCATTTTGGTTTTCAACTATCACTTTTGTTCTCTCAAATTTATTCCGTAAAAGACTGTTAGTCCCTATAAACTGAAAAGGGTTTAGTCCGGATATTAATGGTGTTTTGTCTGCTTAGGTGTCACTGATGCCTTTAAGTTTGTGCTGACCGGGCGAGCTAAGGCGGAAAAATAAATGAGTCAGCCCATGTAGATCAGTGCTTGTGAAAAAATGGGGGAAAAAAGAACAAGGATTGACAGCATCGCCGCTCCTCCTGCCGAGAAGGCCATCGAGCTCCATCTCTGCTCGATGATGAAGATGATGCAGAACAACGGCTCTCTCCTCTCTCTTCCTCTCACCTTCACCATCACTAGTTACCTAATGAAAGTCCCGTTTAAAATAGCTTATAAATAGCTTTTCAATCGTGATTTATGAAATACGAGATAAGTATATGATAGGAATTTTATCTCGACTTACATGAAATATATTTACAAATAATTTCATTCGTAATAACAAATTGAGCCAAAAATGATGATGAATAGTGTTTCTTTTGTCCCTCTTGCTTTAGACGCGGACTCATTTATTTTTCCATCTCAGCTCACCAAGTCAGCACGATAAACTTAATAGCGTTAGTGACATCTAAGCAGACTTGACGCCGCTAATATGAGGACCAAGTCTTTTTCAATCTATTGGACCAACAGATTATAATAAAGTAAATTTGAGGGATCAAAAGTGATGGTTTTAAACTTCAGGGACTAAAATTAAAATTAAGGCAAACCCTAAGAACCAACAATTATATTATCCCAATTTAAAACAAACATATAATTTCTTCACTATCAGTACTTTAAGGCTATTTTCATATTTAAAAAATAAAACTTTAAATCTAAATCATTAAAAATACTGCTCATAATACTCAATATAATCAGTGTTATAACCGGCGACTTGTTGGTTGGAGTGAGGAATTAATGTGGAAACGTTATGTTACCTGAGCAGCACAATGTTCGATTTCGGCACCAGATGATGGTGGCGCCGCCGCAGCAGGAAGATGACTGACAGTTGCAGAATGATTAGATTTCGTCCAGCAAGGCATCATATCATCGGTCACCCCCGGCGACACGCAGATTTTTACGATCCTTTTCTCTGAAACCGTCAGAAGCAGCGATATGAAACCCAGCAGCATCAACTCTGAAAAGATTTTTAAACGTTTTCAAAATTAATTTAGATGAACTCAAGAAGAAAAGTTTGAGAGCTTATTATTATTAGTTACAGTTACAGAACCTTCTTTGATTTTCTGAAGAGCTTCGTAGAGGGCCGTCTTATTCTCCTTCTTAAGGCGCTCTCCGGCATGATGAAGAAGACGTTCTACACCATATGAAACGCCGACAATGACAGTGTAAACGACGGCTACAACCCATGTAGGAGTGTATACGTCGGCAGTAGCTTCCCCACCTCCAGCCATTATATTCTCTCTCAAGTTCTCTCTCTCTAGCTTTCTATCTTCTCATTAGCTTCTTGCTACTTATCTGTGGACTCTGCACTTTGTCACTTCCACTATGTCCATTTATATATGCGTGTATCCAAGTCCTGTCTACCTCCACTGAGCTTCAAAGTTTTTTTGTATTGTTTTGGATCTCACTGAAAGGTGTGTAAATTACGGGAAAAATTTTGAAAAAATTTTGTAAGATTTTTTTCAGGGTTGAAGTTATCTTTATTTTCTAAAATTTGACTGATTTTAGTTTTGATTTTTGAAATTTAAAATCAGTAATTTTAGTTAATAGGATTTGACTTTTTATACATATTTTAAGGACCCAAATCAAAATGAAATGAAATTTTAAAAATCAAAATGATCCAAATTTTTTTAAAAATATATATCAAGAAGCAAATTTTGTGGTCTCATATACTCTTCGTTCTTTTCACAAGTTCCTCGCTCAGTAATTTTGTTGCAACTCATAAGTAGTTTAGAACTTACTATAACTATATGACCTATGAAAATTAGAAAAATTTTCAATTGTACTCGTACATTAAATCCATCCTCGTGGAAGTCAAAGAGGAGTTTGAAAAATATAAACGAATATTAGATCAGGGCATAAAGAGAAGGATGCTCTAGCATGAAATGGAAAATATGATACGTTTTTGCTTATACTCCCTTCAATATCTTTTTTATAACATACTTGGTGAAGGAAATTTTCCCCTTTTTTATAAGATATATGGCATATGAGTTATATATATACACACACAATATTTTTCTCATATGGAATGATTTTGTTTTAAATTTTTGAGTAGGTGAAAGAAGGGGCTCATCAGAAAGTGACAAAATTATTGTAGGAAGAAAAAAGTGGTGCCTTCACTTGCGTCAGCAACTCGCTACTTACATTACGTGGGATTGATGACTTCATTACAGAAAAGATCCATTCATCCATTTGTTTTAATTCTGTCGGCCAAAATAGAAAACTACATACATTTTTACTGTACATTTAAATTAAATATAGAAACTTCCATTTGAGAGACTACTTATTAGGTATTACTCTGATAAGAATAGTAAAGTTAGTTTATTAGATACTTAATATAATTAGCTACTTATTAGAGATAACCCTATAAGATTTAAAAATCATCATACTCATAATTAAAAATTTTCTTAATTCCAGTGATATATATCTTAATTTCGATGAATTATGTTTAAAACAATTTATAAATAGGACTAAATAAGTATTTATTATATATTTTCTGATATTCAATGGATTTTTTTATATATATTTTAAGTAGGTGAAAGAAAGGGTCCATACATAAAGTGACCAATTTGTTTTAGGAAGAAACGTACGTGTTGCCTTCACTTGCGTCAGCAACTAGCTAGCTCCATTCATACATTTGTTTTAATTGTGTTGTCCAAAAAAAAAAACTACATACATTTTTATTGTAAATTAAAATAGAAAAACTTTAATTTGAGAAAGAATATACATCAAAGACATTTTATAAAAAATTATTATTGTCCGCTATATCGTAAATATAAGCTGCTTTCAATTAATTTATACGTATCAGGAAATTAAAAAATACTCTAGCTAAATCCTAGTTTAAGTATTAAATTATCATAAAATTAGAATATTTTTTAATATTGTTCTGATTAGTTATATTAAACACTATTAATCATGCATGCATTGTCCGTCTCAATTATAAACGAAAGGTACCAAATTTTCTTGGTAGCTTCCAAGAATAAAAAGACAAAGCCATCGCATTATTGCACCTCTTTCCAGTTGGAATCTCCTCACTGATTTCTTTGGCTCATTCAAAAAGAAAACAAATCATTGCATTAGAAATTCGAGAGTAATCACACTCAATTACCTTTCACAATTATTGTGTGTGGGCCAATGTGTAATAAAGTTTGTTAAAAGGGGGATTAAAAAAAGGAGGGGAAGTGTAATAATGCACCGTATGGCTAATGCGTGCTGACCATGCATGGTGGTTACAAAAATTTTAGGATGATTGGGGAGAAAAGAAATTGAAAACTTTCATTATACCCTTGTTAATATTATTTTAGCTCTTAAAATTTAATCTTATTTTAATTTTGCTTCTTGAAGTTTGACATCTTTTGAGTTTTAATTCGCAAAATTTAAAATCAGTAATTTTGATTTCTAAAATTTGACTTTATATTTGTCTGTCTAAAGATTTTTAGTCTTTGAAATTTTGTTTTAGTCCCTGAGACAAAGATTGAAATCAAATTTTAAGGAGTATAACCACCGGTTTTCAATTTTAGAGACCAAAATTAAAATGAGGCCAAATTTCAATGACAAACTGTTGGTTTCAAAGTTCATAGAGGAAAACCAAAATAAGGTTAAATTCCATAGACTAAAAAAATAATCAAATAGCAGGTGATTAAATTAGATTTTTATTATAACTTTCAAATATTTTATTTTATTTCAGACTTAGAAAGTATCTTCATCAAGGATTTTTAATTAAAAAGATGAAACACGAGAAAGTGGGCGGCTAAACTTTTCCATTCCTATTTTGTCATTTTTGGTCGAAAGAGATCTATTATCTTGATTATTGTTGTCGATTACATTTCAAGAATTAAAAATATGGCTTGAGGGGCCAGTTTGAAAATTTTTTTTTCTTCTCAAAGCTTCCTTCAAATTGTTAGGTATACATTTCCTTTAATTTTATTCAATAACCAGTTTTGGACAAAATATATACTCGTCAACGGTCATCTGATAAATATATATATATATATGGTGATCGATTAAAACAAAAACATATAGGAGCACAGAATAAGATATTTAATGAAAAAAGTCAAAACATTGTCTATTTTTAATCGTTATCCTTTTTTTTTTTTGATACGCTTTTTAATCGTTATTCTATTAACATAAAAGTCATAAATCAATAAAGAAAATGAGAAATCAAACTTACAATTAAAGTTTCCAACAAAATACAAGATTATATTTAAATTGAATGAAAATAAGAAATAAGAAAGAAACTCATTGCCAATAATCTCTTACTTCAATGGTTCTCCACAACTTTTCTCATGTAGGAGGATGGAGGTTCTATATTTCAAAAATGCAAAAATTGGGGTCCGTGTGTTTGGGTTCCTTCCTTATGAGGAGGGTTAAATTAATGGGACAAAGAAAATGAAAAAGAAAGAATTTTATAAACAACTCAAACTTTGGGGATTTAATAGAGAGAATGTGAAAACTTTTTATACGAAAAGAAGTTGCTTCATCAACAGGGTTGGGTCTGGCAGAAGAAGTCTAGTATCTCACCACGTAGCGAACCAATGTTGAAATTCCCGCTGGGAGAGATATTTACATTTAGTACCCGACAGTGCATCGAATAGGATTGTCTTTAATAAAAGGATACCTATACTTTAACTAAAAAAAAAAGTTGCCCCATGTATTGCGCTTCGGCACCTATTACCCAAAACTCCGCCAATCAAGTTAAAACATGATGGTTTAGATTTAATGTTAATGTTAATTTTGATTTAATGTTAATTTATTTCTATTATTTTAAAAATACAAATTATAAAATAAATATAACCTTTTAAGTATTGGCATGCGAAAAAAGAAAATTTATAATTTAAAAATTATAAATTGAAAACTTTAACGTTTAAATTGTTCAAATCATCGGTTTGTTTGGATTAATGTTGACAAAAGTGACTTTTGTTTTAACTGACTTTTGCAAACTAAATGTAGAATAAAATTTAATTAGTGTAATATAACTTATATTTGGATATGATTTTATTAAATAAGTCAGTTTGACATAAACTTATTAGAAAATTTAAGTTTACAGAAAAACTAAAAGCCAAGAAGTTATTTTAGTTTCAGTTTGGCTTTTGGTAGCTGAAGTCATTTTGTCGTAAAACATCGCAAGCATTACCTGTTGCATCAAAATAGTTTTTCACATTAGAAAAGCTAGTTCCTCATCGCATAACATAATGCCAAACAAGCTTAGATAATATAAATCTTATTGCGCTCATAGGCCCGAAAAACATAAGAAAAAGAAAAGAAAAACATAAATAAACAACAAAAAGAATTTGGCACCGACGTGGAAAGCAGAAACGAAAAGCCTTTTCCATTAATTGGTAACATTGACTTCATTGCAGTCAACAACTAGCTACTATCTATATACAATACAAAATGTGTAACAACTACACAAACTATTTCATGTCAATAATTAAACTGGTGCCTTTTCTTGTAGGAAGAAAAAAGGGAGAATTACATTCAAGTTCCACACAAGAGAAATAATCACTACAAAGTCCCAAGTAACAACTTGAGCAGCCTGAAATAACAAGTCCTACAGTGAGAATGACAACCTCTGGGACTTGTTTTTTAATTACTTGGGACCTCATTGTAATTCTCCCAAGAAAAAAAGGGAGAATGGTCATTGAAAGCATCGGAAGTGACACTATATTGGGCCGAGTTACATTGGGCCCATTACTTGCAACATGTTTTCTTGTCATAATAAGTGGTGTTGAACCCAACTCCCTCTTTAAATTGCACTTCAATGTCATGCTCTGGGCCTCTAAGCTATGAGCCAGTCTCTCCACTTAGGGGGGAAATGACAATTTGGATCTCCTTTGCAACAATGACACGTGTAACAATTATTGACAAAACACAACTTCTTCTTCTTCTTTTTTTTTTTAAATTATGTGTAAAGTGAGCAAAATGGAGGAGAAGCGAACAAAGAAATTTGTTATTATGGCTGGTAGATTCAAATTACTAGCAAACAGAACAAATCTTCAAGTAAGACAAACAAATAGCTAGATATTCATCATATCCACCTCAGATAATAAATTTGGTGAGAAACATTATTATATTCGCGTGACAATGAAAAAAATAGAAGAGAGTCAACATAAGAAGAATTATCAAGCATATGTGTATTGGACTCTTGACAATACCCGTGTTCTCAAGAATTTTATTTAATTCATACATATATAGGAATGAGGAAAAGTCATGGTTTAATAATTTTACGCTACGTGCCTTCTAAATATGTTTCTGCGCAGA